ACTAAGATTTCTCGAGGCATATAGAATACTATCTTTAAGTACTTATCTACGGTGTATTGTGCAAGCCCCCAGTATAACATGAACTTTCCATAAATTTCTAAGAATTTCAGAACTAGCAAGGAACTTCCTAAAAATTTCTGAGGATCTCAATGTTAGCAAGGAACTCTAAACTGAGTAAAAGAATCAACACAGAATAAAAGAAGGATAAGAAAAGAAAGGAAGGAAAAAATTAAGGAAAAAGGTTGTAGATTAAAGTTTGCTTTAGAGAGGGGAAGAGAAAGCTTGATTTTGTGCTTTATTTCTGAACAAAGGAAGTGCTTTTTTTTATAGAGCGTGAGGCACCCTCCTAGGTTGGAAACTTATGGAAGAATCCCGCATAAGTTGACCAAAATGGCTTAAAGAAAGTGAAAGTTGGAGCAAAATGTGCCTTAATTTGCGGAAGAAATAGTTTTGAACGAAACTCATTCATAATACTTTCTCTGACTGGCTTTTGTAATATGAATTTTAGGTTTTTACAACAGTATTTGTATCTGGACTAAGGCATTTAGTAAAACATTAACTGACAAGGATGAACACATTTTTTGTATACAATAGAACATTAAGAAAACTTAAGTGTATTATGTGTGTCTAACATGGCAATAAATCCATGTCAGCATAAATTCTTATCATATCTCAATTCCTTAGAAGCTTGGAACTTTTAAAGCAACTGAAGGAATGTCTTCTCTTAATATCATTTATTTAGTTTTAAAATTTTGCTTAGGTTGAGGAATTCTATGAAGCCTGGGAATAGATGCTTGCATGTTGAATATGTAGGTTTAAATCCCTTTTGTGGTATGCGATCAAATGGTATCTGTGGAAGTTTGTCTCCCTTGCATGTATGACAATCACCACTTTTTAAGATTTGGAAGACGAGTCCTTGTATAAGTTGAGGAAGGATGCTTGGTGACTAAAACTTGCCTAGAGACAGAAGTATGATTTGCCTGACTAAAATTTCTTCTACCCTCAACGCTCAACCAACTCTTCCAACTAAAACAAAATAAAAGAAACCAGGATTGGGTCATGCAAGGTAACAACATACAACCATAACTCGAGTTGCATGTTCCAGAGAACGGACGACTAAGGTCGAGAAAACTTACCAGTTTCAGAACTCGAAACTGTTCGGTTCAAATTGAAGCTTGGGACGCCGGGAGTATTCCTACGGTCTTAGAATGATGATTGGAGAAGAGAAAGGGTGAGTTTTCTTAGAGAGAAGATAGAGTTTCTAGTGAGAAGAAGGAGAAAATGAAAAGTTCAGAGTTTTGGGAAGAAGGGTGCATGCAGAGTGAGTGAAACGGGAATTTCGAAAAATCAGGTTTTGCTTCTCTCGTTAAAACGAACGTCCGCTCACTTGCTGACACGTGCCTTCCACTATCTGATTTTCGAATCCTCGTTGCTTGACACCTGGCGTCCGTGCAGAGGGGTTTTGGGTGCGTTTTAATGAGTCTGACAGGAGGGATTTTGGGTGCGTTTTAAACGAGGCCTGACATTCCCCCTAACTACAAAAATTTTCGTCCTCGAAAATTAAAACTTACTCGTAAACAGATGGGGATATAAGTCCTTCATGGCATCCTCCACTTCCCATGTAGAGTCGTCCGTCTTCTCATCCCATACCACTCTCACTAATTTGATAGATTTTCCCTTGTAGTACTTGGTGCGGCTGTCTTCAATGCGAACCGATTGCATCTCCAGCGTGCGATCTTGTCGAGGACGAACGTCCTCTAACTCCAATATGTGAGAAGGATCGGCTATGTACTTCCAGAGTTGAGAAACGTGGAAGACTGGATGAAGATTTGATAGCTGAGGAGGCAATGATAACTCGTACACCACTGGTCCGATCTTCCTTAGAATTTGATAAGGTCCGACGAACTTGGGAGATAGCTTCTTGGGTCGAACGGCTCTGCCTACTCCAGTGGTCGGGTTCAGTCTAAGAAAGACATGATCTTCTGCAGCGAATTCCAAGGGCCTTCTCCTCTTGTCTGCATACGACTTATGTCGGCTCCTTGACGTCTTCAACCTCTATTGGATCAACTTCACCTTCTCAGGTCCAGTCAACACCTTCTCTCCTTCTTGAAACCAACATAGTGGCGTACGACACTTCCTTCCGTAGAGAGCTTCAAATGGAGTCATCCCAATGCTGGACTGGAAACTATTGTTATAGGTGAATTCCACTAGCGGTAAGACTTCATCCCATACGCCCATGTGATCTAGCACGCACGTCCTCAGTAAGTCTTCAAGCGTCTGGATGGTTCTCTTAGATTGACCGTCCGTCTGAGGATGATAAGCTGAACTCATCTGTAGTTTGCTACCCAGCTCGCTTTGTAGGGATTGCCAAAACCGAGAAGTAAATCTTGTGTCTCGGTCCGAGATGATACTGGAAGGAACTCCATGCAAACGAACTATCTCGTTAATGTAGAGTTTAGCTAAGTTCGTCATAGACATCTTCAGGTTGACAGCTAAGAAGTGTGCGCTCTTCGTCAACCGATCCACTATCACCCAGATGGAGTCGTGATTCTTCACCGTACGGGGTAAGTGGGTCACGAAGCCCATGGAAATGCTGTCCCACTTCCATTCAGGAATCTCCAACTGCTGTAGTAGACTGCCCGGCCTCTGATGCTCCGCCTTAGCACGTTGACAAGTTAGACATCATGCCACAAAATGAGCGACATCATTCTTCATTCTCGGCCACCAGAAAGACTTCCTGAGGTCTTGATACAGCTTAGTCATGCCAGGATGCATGCTAAGACGACTGTGATGTCCTTCCTCAAGAATGATCCTCTTCAACTCGCCATCGTTAGGAACGCATGTCCTATCTCTATATCGAAGGAGACCGTCCGCTCTAGTATTGAAGTACTTTGCCTTGTCTAAACCGAGCGCGCTCAAAATCTTCACCAGTTCTTCATCCATCGATTGCTTCTCTCTGATCCGGTCAAAGACGTTACTGGATATTCTAAGGTTACAGCATCTGATACTGTTCGGTCCCAAGTCGAACTATAACCTTAGATCTCTAAAGCTCTCCACCAAACTTAATTCTCGGACCATCATAGACGAGACATGAACTACCTTTCTACTTAAAGCGTCCGCTACAACGTTCGCTTTTCCCGGATGGTAGAGTAGTTCGAAGTCATAGTCCTTCAAGAACTCAAGCCACCTCCTCTACCTCATATTCAACTCCTTCTGATCAAAGAGGTACTTGAGACTCTTGTGGTCGCTGAAGACTTGAAATGTAGAATCGTATAAGTAGTGCCTCCAAATCTTTAATGCGAACACGACCGCCGCCAATTCCAAGTCGTGAGTCAGATAGTTCTTCTCGTGGATCTTCAGCTGTCGAGAAGCGTACGCGACCGCCCTTCTTTCTTGCATAAGCACATAACCTAAACCTTGATGAGATGCATCGTAGTAGACTTTGAATGGTTTGGCTCTGTCAGGAATGACCAAGACTGGAGCGCTCGTCAACTTCTGCTTCAGTTCTTGGAAACTCTCTTCACACCGATCGGTCCAAGCGAACGGTTGATCCTTTCGCGTCAGCTGCATCAACGGTCTACTATCTTAGAAAATCCTTCAATAAAACGCCTATAGTAGCCCCCGAGTCCCACGAAACTTTGGACTTCCGTGACCGAACATAGACTCTCCCATTCCAACACTGCTCGTACCTTGGCCGGATCCACTGAGATCCCTCCAACAGAGACTACATGCCCCAAGAATTGTACTTCCTTCATCCAAAATTCACACTTGGTCAATTTGGCATATAAATCCTTTTCCCTTAAGACGCCCGGCACTAACCTCAGGTGCGCTTCATGCTCTTCACAGTTCTTGGAATAGATTAGAATGTCGTTGATGAAGACGACCACGAACTTGTCCAGGTACGGTCGAAAAATGCGATTCATGTAGTCCATGAATATCGCTGGTGCGTTCGTTACTCCGAACGGCATCACTACATACTTGTAGTGTCCGTAACGAGACCTGAAGGCTGTCTTCTGGACGTCTCCTTCCTTAACCCGAATCTGATGGTAGTCGGACCTCAAATCTATCTTCGAGAATATTGTAGCGCCGTGTAGTTGATCCAACAGATCATCAATCCTAGGCAAGGGATACTTGTTTTTGATGGTCAGCTTGTTTAACTGCTTGTAATCAATGCAAAGCTGAGAGCTGCCATCCTTCTTCTTCACCATGAGAACAGGCGCTCCCCAAGGTGATGCGCTCGGCCTGATGAACTTCTTATCCATTAAATCTTCAATCTGCTTCTTGAGTTCAACCAACTCTGCTGGTGACATCCGATATGGTGCAATAGAGATGGGCCCTACTGTCGACACCAAGTCGATTGTAAATTCTACCTCGCGTGGAGGAGGTAGTCCAGGTACTTCATCCGAAAATACGTGTGGGAATTCATCTACGACCGATCGTCCTCCACTCAGTTTATTACTGGACGATCGTTCATGACTTGAGTCTTCAAAATCTTCATCTGAATGCGTCATGATTAGAAAACAACAGGCGCCCTTCATGATGTCTTCCTTTAGCTGACCGAGCGTCACAGAACACTCTTCTTCTTCTTCATTCGGAAACACTAACTTCTTCTCACCACAATCTATAAGAATGCGATTGGTAGCCAACCAATCCATTCCTAGAATCACTTCCAAACCTTGAAGAGGTAAGCAAATGAGGTTCACCTTATATGTATGTCCCTCAATCTCAATAGGACATCTAACACAAACTTTAGACGTCCTAACCTCACCAGCCACTGGGGTTGACACCACCAAGTCGAACTGCATCTCGCTCTCTGCTAACCCTAGTTTCTCAACGCACGCCTTCGAGATGAAGGAGTGTGTTGCCCCCGAATCATACAATACACAACAAGGCAATTCGTACAGTAAGCAAGTGCTGATGATAAGTGTACCTGAGCTTGCTGCTTCAGCTCCCGTTATTGCGTATACTCGCCCCAATGCCTGCACTCGGCCACCCCTTCCTTATTGAGCTCTTCCCGAGTTTGGTGGCCTCATGACCGCTCGTCCTCCCATGTTACACTCGCTCTCCAGATGACCATTTCTTCTACAGCGAGTGCAATATTTTCCTCCTACCAACTGAGGACAGGATGATTTGTAGTGGGGTCTTCCACATTGAAGACATTTGATTTCCCCATGCTGTCCAGACTGTCCGACAGCAACCATAGATTGGGTGTGAGACCCACTAGCGTTCGAAGGTAACACTGGACGAGAGTAAGGTGTTCTGCCCCGATTCAGGTTATTTCTAGTTAAAACCGGTCCTCTAACTGCTTGTTGCTGCTTCTTCTGCTGTTCCACTTCGACCACATTCTTCTCCAACACTTTGGCCCTCTCAACCATTGCAGGGAATGACCTAATACATAGGATGGATATCAGTAACTTCAAATCACTCCTCAGCCCATTCTCAAATTTCCGACACTGCCACTCTTCATTGGTTGCCATGGTATTAAATCTCACCAAGTGCTTGAATTTATTGGTGTACTCCGATACCGACATTCCACCCTGTAACAACTGCAGAAACTCTACCTCTTTAGCGAAACGCACGCTATCGGGGAAGTACTCCTCATAAAATTTGCTTCTAAAAACTTCCCAAGAGATGGGGCTTTGAGCGTCCGCCAAAATCATCTTCATGCTCGCCCACCAATGGCTGGCTTCTCTAGTCAACAGATACTCTGTGAATGCCAATCGATTGTCGTCTGAGCACCTCTTGGCATTGTAAATCCTCTCCATATCTTTTAACCACTGATCGGCCTCGTCAGGAAGGCATTTTCCGTTGAATTTGGCAGGGTGATGCTGAAGAAAATTCTCTAAACTCCACTCGGCCTGATGGGTAGCGTTGGAAGTGGACGCTCCAGCTGTACTCCTCGTGGTTGCTATTATCTCCATCAGTTGTCTCTGAGTCACTTAAGAGTTAGCGCGAGCGGCTTCCAGACTTTGTAAGGCGGTAGTGTTCTGCTGCACCAAGGCAGCGTTCTGCTGTTGAAGCGCTTCTATCACTGATTCCAACAGTCTTGTGTTGTCGAATACAACACGGTCGATAGGTTGTGGAGGAGGTCTGGGTGCCATTAGTTCTTTAAGAAGTAGAGAAAGCAATCGTTAGTTAAGTTCAAAGAGTTTAAAATACTCATCAAACAAACGTTAAGCACACAACAAAAACATGGTGTACTCATAACCTACAGTGTTCCTTAAGGAACAAAACTGCTCTGATACCACTAATGTAACATCCCAAAAATACAGTAATAAACCATATAATAGAAATAAATACATTTAATAATATATCAGTTCAGTCTTACCCTAATCAACGTACGCTTACGGCCGAACGGCCTTACAAAAGCTTTCCAATTAAACTGTACAAGATAAGAGAAAACATGACCAAACGGTTTACAAAAGAACTTACCGAACGGTCAGTTAAAAACAAAAGAGAGGAGGTGACCGAACGATCACCTCACAATAAGATTACTATCTACTAACTGAACGTTCTACTGTTCGGTTTTGACTTCAACCTCCACCAAGTTTTCTTTTCCAGCGCCTCTTCCAGCAGTTCATCTCCATCTGCTCACATCCACACGGATGATCATTGCAACGACAAGGACAGACGTACAAAACCAGACAATACAGGAAAATACAGGGTAAGCTTATGTAATTTAATTCAAGTATAAACATATACTTCAAACAATCAAACGCACAAGACAAATTCAACATACGTAGAATAATTCATATATACAGAACCTAATGCCGATCAATGACCGATCACGGTAAAGAAGATTCTACTGAAATTGGACGAACGCTGTTTCATCAAGATTGATCAATTAGAAACGAGTACAAACGCTTGGTATAAGACCAAGCGCCAATCATTACGAGAGCTTGGGTTGAGACCTATCACTAATTTAAACTTATAATAGAAACATTTATAATAATAAATATGATAAGACACGATGGGAACATTGTTTAAGAATAACTAAATATACAAATTCATGTTTACAAGATTTTCAGTTCCTCACATAACACTCAAGTGCATCTACGCTTGGCCGAACGCTCAAACATAACACTATTACAAGAAGGCTCTCGTCCTCAACTAGAATTCTTCCCAAATGAAAGAATTAAATTTCAAGAAGTTTACTAGAAACACCGAACGGTCAAGGACCGTTCAATGACGAACGCACATTATCATAGTGAGAATTTCATATTCAGATTTTCATTTATCTTCAACTCATTTTTTTCAATACATCATTTCATAACCTTATAACTTCACATAAACATCAATTTACATACTTCGAAAAATCTATATCATGTTAATAAATCATACTCCAAACAAATACTCATATTCACATTCATACACTCCAAACATATCAACCATCATGCATTATATTCATTTCAGTCAATTAGCGATCGTTCATACAACCCAATAAACAGATAAATTAAATTAAATAAGCTTCCCTTACCTCTAGTGTGAACGATCGTCCTAGAGACAGAAGTATGATTTGCCTGACTAAAATTTCTTCTACCCTCAATGCTCAACCAACTCTTCCAACTAAAACAAAATAACAGAAACCAGGATTGGGTCATGCAAGGTAACATCATACAACCATAACTCGAGTTGCATGTTCCAGAGAACGGACAGCTAAGGTCGAGAAAACTTACTAGTTTCAGAACTCGAAACTGTTCGGTTCAAATTGAAGCTTGGGACGCCAGGAGTATTCCTACGGTCTTAGAATGATGATCGGAGAAGAGAAAGGGTGAGTTTTCTTAGAGAGAAGATAGAGTTTCTAGTGAGAAGGAGGAGAAAATGAAAAGTTCAGAGTTTTGGGAAGAAGGGTGCATGCAAAGTGAGTGAAACGGGAATTTCGAAAAATCAGGTTTTGCTTCTCTCGTTAAAACGAACGTCCGTTCACTTGCTGACACCTGCCTTCCACTATCTGATTTTCGAATCCTTGTTGCTTGACACCTGGCGTCCGTGCATAGGGGTTTTGGGTGCGTTTTAATGAGTCTGACAGGAGGGATTTTGGGTGCGTTTTAAACGAGGCCTGACATAGTTGGAATCTACTATGGCCTTTATTTGGTCTGTTTTAGTGAAATTTTTCCAATAACTGCTATAATTTTGAGGTTCATTTTGTTATGAATTTAGATTTAGTAAAAAGTCAAGTACCTTCATTAAATTATTTTGTTTGAATAAAGGTGCATAATAGGGTTACTTGACACAAATGTTGAGCGGAGTCATAAATTCATACTTTCAATGTTAATTCTTATTGTTCAAAGTTTTTGTTCTGATGTTTTCAATTTTTGGTAATCATAGTCTAATTCATTTTATTTATAGATTTTGGGGCGATGTGGAATGAAATGTGAAGGACTTGAGACGTTATGCATTAAGGATCATACACTTACAAATGAAAGTATGTTGTAAGCATTCAGTGCGTTTTGGATTTGTCTATATCCTATATCATTATTTACCACATTGCAGACGCAGAGAAGATAATTGGTTACGCTTTAAGTTACCACCTCGTGCAGAATTCAGAAGCTAAGCCTGATTCGAAGCTTGTATTGTCATGTGAGAGGTAATTGCCAATTTACACTGATTGTGATTTGATATATTATATTTGGTTAATTGTATTTTACAATTGTGATATGGTATTCCTCCAGCATTTAGTATGGAATTGGGATCTTGAAGTCCGTCCAGAATGAGTCCAAGAGCCTGAAGAAATCTCTTAAGGTGATTGTTTGTGCTTGCTTTTGATGTAGATGTCATTCCAGCTTTGCATTTTAGTGTTTACAAGTGTAGAGTTCATAAAAACTATATTCTAAAATCAAGTTGATTGTTCAGGATGTTGTAATAGAAAATGAATTTGAAAAGAGGCTTTTGCTGACGTTATTCTTCCTAGTGACATTGATGTACCTTTGATGATATTGGAGCTCTTGAAAAGGTCAAGGATACATTGAAAGAGTTGGTGATGCTTCCTTAATAGCGACCTAAGCTTTTTTCCATGGGGCAATTAACCAACCTTCACTTGATAGATTTTATTGTTTAAAGATTTTATGCTTTTTTCTCTTTACTTTGTTTGACATCTATGTTGATTTGATTAATTGATTTATTTTCTGATGTTTTATTTTTCATTAATCTTTTAGTGTCCTTCCTTTGTCCCCACTCTAAAAATGAGGAAAACAAAGGAAGTGGAATCAGTTGCCATGTATTAATTATGTTTGATTGACATATTTTACATCTAGGTTGTTACTTATGATAATCATCAACCGAATATTGAAAGTAATGGAAATAGGAGAACTTACGAACAATATCTTGTTTGGACATACCGTTGGAATTAAATTACGAAAAATCTGGAAAAAGTAGTGGTGGAGGAATGAGTTTAAGAGAAGTAATTGAAGAAGTTGATCTTGCACCCTAAAACAAACAAAACTCCTAAACGTCTAATTCATTAATTACCTAGATTCTAACCGCTAGTACATTAACTACGCAATGGTTAATTATCCATTTAATTTTATTACATTTAAGTTTACCCAAACTAAATCATGATTCCAAGAAGATAAAACCAATAAAGATGATTTGATGACACTTTCTTTACTTTTTAGCAGCAACTTGTAAGAATTATAAGGATAAAATGGCATTTTACATGTTAAAATCACTGTCACCATAAATAGCGTAAGTCCTGCATCTACATTCATGGGTGAAATGAGCAATAACCAGTCTCCTAAAACAGGACAGGTTTCCCTCATCGTCATTATTTGGATATGGTAATATTTGTGACAACATCTGAACTTAAGATATAACTATATTTATTTAAGCAGAGAAAAAGATCCAAATCGAAAAACAAGCTACGTTCCACATCTTACATATAGCCTCAATTTTATTCTCAAGCAGGTATTAGAAAACACTGAAAGCTCATCCCTCAACCATCATGGATATAGGAATAGGGCTAATTAAGCATCTAGACAGGGTATTTGTATAACTGAAGAACCTTCTTCCAAGATGGTCTGTTGCTGATATCATCCCACCAAGCACTCACATGCTTCCTCTCTCTCACCAAATTCCCTCTTCCAGTTTGGTTCACCAAATAATGACCAAATGGGAGATGGCTAAGATCAGCAAGGCTGAAGAAATTACCAGCCAAATACTTGCTTTTTGAGAGCCTCTCCTCATAAACATCAAGCACCTTCTCAAGCTTTTTATCACTCTCTTCTATCACTTTTTGGTCTGAGGCAACTCCCATTAATGGGGCAAATAGAACATTGATAACCAAATTGTAGAGTGGTGGGTGAAAGTTATGAGCTTCCACTTCAAGCCATTGTTCCACAAGACCCTTTTCTTCTATTGTCTTTCCCAACAAGTCAGTTCCTTGGTCTTTATATTTCTCTGCAAAGTATCTGATTATTGCACGAGATTCTGCAACATTGGTTTGAAATCAGTGTATTAGAATGGACATAGACTATCCTACATTTGCAAAGAGGCAGAGAAAATGTATTTCGGGGAAGTAAGCATTCAACCTTTTGGATCTTTCTACGTTGGAAATGTCAAACAATAAAAACCAATTCATACCACCCCATTAAGGTTCACTGTAGAGATATGTATGATGCATCCAGATCAAACCATAACACATGTTTATCAAAAACAACTAATACACAAATTTCATGGAGTAACTGATTTATAACCCCTATGCCTCCTTTTAAAACAAAGGAATAGCAATTAGGAAAGGCAACAGTGCAGAACAAGAATGAACAATCCGAACCTCATACAAAATTCTAAATATTCAACTACCCACATAGATGAGAGACACACAAAGTGAAGAACATCACTAGAAAGATCAGAAGTTGAAAAGCCACCCTTCCTTAACCATGGGCACAAGAAAAAAAAAATGCAGAAAATAAGAAAGGGGCTTTGT